CGTGTTGAAGGCTAGGTTCCAATGCAATGTTCAAAGGTAGATCTTTTGGGAAGTGATTGAATCATGAGGGCTCTGACTTAATTGATGAAGGCCTAGTCCACTGACAGATTCATAATTGAAGAGACTATAGGGAGATGATGAAAACTGTGGAAGGTGGGACCTGATTGGAGAAAGTGGATTACTGGGGGCATGCCTGTGAAGGGTGTATCTTGCCTTGGGCCTATCTCTCTTCGCTTCTTGACTGCCATAAGGGGAGCATCCTCCCATGTCACATGCTCCTGATATCATGATGTTTTGCCTCAGTACAAGCCCAGAGCAATGGAGCCAGCTGAGCATGGACTGAAACCTCTGCAACTGTGAGCTAAAATCAATCTTCATCCCTTGTTTATCTCAGGTATTTTGTCACAGTAATAGAGATTTGTACGTGGCACTTTACTTTATTCTTCTTGGTTACTCTCATGCTGATATTTTCATTTACAGGGTAAAAAACATAAAACAAGACACTTAAAAGAGGTTAAGGACTCTCCAAAGGTAACAAATTAATAATGAGCTAGTTCATTCATTACTGTCCACTGTTTCAGGGTGATTACACCAAAATTTTCTTATTCCTTTTCTGTTGAGTGTTTCCATATGTTTATGTTATAAATAATGCTCAATGAATAACCTTATTATTATTTATGCTAAGTATATATTAAATATTATTGAAATCATGTTTAATTATATTTTATATTATAAAACATTTAATTATATCTTAAATATATTAAATGGGACTATTAATTATATCTCCTTAGGCACACCTATAAGTGGAGTTACTGAATCCAGCTCATGAGATCCTGCATATTACCAAGTATCAACTCATAGTCTTGCAGGCAGTGAACTAGATTTCCTTCCTGCACACTCTTGCCAAGTTTTCTACTGTTTAAGTCTTTACTATTTGCTTTAATTTACTATTTAAATTGAAATATCTCAATCTAAATTACATTTCTCTGATTTCATGTGAATGGAACATTTCTCAGAATTTTACCAGCCATGTCATTTTTATTTTTCAAGGTCCTAGTTTATTACATTTGCTCAGCTGTATTCATTTTTCCCTCATTAGAAGACTTAGATGGAAAGAGGAATATGGCAATATCAAAAATACCTAAGATAACAGATAACCTACAGTGTTGGCTTTTTGCAGAAGAGAGAAACAGACCTGCTCAACAGGATGAATGGCAAAGGCTCCTACCAGGTGAAGGGCTGAAAACTCATACAGCAACAGTTTATGGCCCTTTGTGGAAGAGGCTGCTGATTGCCAAATGGAGTTGGAAAGGATTTTTTTTTTTTTGAGATGTGGTGTTCCATACCAGGGACTCTGGCTTCATCTGGGCTGGAGGCTCTTGGACCAGGATTATAGTCATAATATGGATTCTGTAGCCAGATTTACATATTTCAACCCAATTTCTGCTTGCCATTTGTGTATGTGCTGGCAAGTTACTTCTCTGTGTTTTTAAATCTCCTTTCCTATAAAATGGGGATAACAATGGTATAGAATTATTATGAAGGTAAATATGAACAAGTGGTTAGAATGGGGAATGATATAATATGCTTTTTATAAGTTTTTATTTAAACTTTCAATATATGAGAGGTGTTATGCAAGATGCTCTTGACATAGGAACTTAATGGAAAATTAATTTTATTCTAAGTTGATGTTTAACTCAAACTGATAAGGCTGTCTGGGAAATTAGAAAATAATTGGCCAACAGAGAAGATTCATTACACTACTGACTTCAAGTCAATGTTTGCTTGATAACTCACTTGATTAGGATGGAATTATCTCACCATCCTATAAAATTAAGAAGTAGAGAAAAAGTGTCTGCAGTCTTCCCTGCAGTGTGTGGATAACACAAAGAGCATGATTTTAGAGTATGTAAACCTGGATCTGAATTCTGGCTCTGCCATTTATATTAGCTATTTGACCTGGTAAGATGCAAGTTTCTTAGTATCTTTGATTTTCAGTTACCTTGTTTGTTGATTGGTAAAAATGATACTACCACTTAGGATAGTAACGGATAATTAGAGGAGGTAATTTTCATTACAATATTTTCCCATAGAATTATAGCCATGTGTCATTTAACGATGGGATATATTGAAAAAAATGCATCATTACACAATTTTTGTCTTGGTGTAAACATCTTGGAGTATATTTACACAAGCTAAGATCATTACAATGTAACTAGGCAAAATAATCTTATGGGGCCACTCTTGTATATTAAACCCATTGTTGATTGAGACATTGTTATGTGGTGTATGGCTGTATTCACTCAATGATAATTTTGTACATTGACACCTCAGAATATAAGAACCAAGGACATCATTTGAATCTTTAAAATTTTAGAGGATAAATTTCTCAACAATAAATGGAAAGGTCTTTTGGTTTATTTATAAAGTATGTACAAATTATTGTTTTTGAAGAAGGTGTGCAGAAAGTTCAAGCAAGTATCAGAAGAATTTTGATAATTATGCTTTTTGAGTTGATCATGGCAGTGATCAACTATCTAGTGGACACTGTTGCCTCTGATTGGAGACATTGCTGTAGAGTTGGTTTAATGAGCAACCAACTCATTTTGTGCTCAGTCCTTAGATTACAAATGAGAAAACTGAGGTCAGAGGAGGAAGTGATGTCATTAGGATACACTTGTTGTAGAGTTCAAATCAGGATTCAGGTATTCTGGCTCCTGGTCAAGGGCTCCTGGTCAACCTGAGCTGGGCTCATGGTCTTGTGTGGTTTATCTCAGTCTTTAGGGGAAAAAGGCACCCCTGATATGGAATCACTGTTTACTCTGTTAAGTTTCAAGTTTAGTGCCATTGTCCCTGAATGTATCAGCTTCATACCACATTGTGACCATCATTGTCCTTTGAGTCATTTTTTATTTTATGAAAGCTAATATAGCAACCTAATCAAATTTCTAGGAGTCAACATTTAGCAAATCTAACATCTTGAAAAGTAAATAATTATAGACATTTGATTTTTGCTTTAGAAAGTTAGTATTTGTTTAAACAGCACTTTATAATTATTGGTCAAGTGTTCTCTCTTTCTTCCTCTCCTCCCAAGTCCTGGACCATGGCAAAAAAGTCTGGTTGCAGTGACTGCAATTAATATCACAGCCACCTAATTTCCTATGAGAAAACTTTTCAAAGGAACATTGACATGGAAAGTTCTTAGACATCATTCAGAGCCAATGCTTCTGATAGGTTTTTACCTCCTGAGTCAGGGTATTTTTTGTCTTTTTACCTTACTAGAAAACTCATCTGTCCTTTGAATCTCTGAGAGCAAAATAAATGAGAGAACACTGTACTTTATGTTACATCTGTGATATATATTAAAAATAGAAAACAATATAGTCTCTCAGAAGAGCTTGAATCACAAAATCTCTTTAAGGTGGAAGCACTAAAGAAAACAAAAATTAAAGTTGTTTGTAGGAAAACTCTAGTACATCTGAAGCAGCCTGGAGGTGGGAGGGGGGGAGGGGAGGAATGTGGCCCAAATAATGTATACACATGTAAGTAAAAGTAAAAATGAAAAATAAATTTTTTTAAAAAAAGAAAGTCTTTCTGGGCTTAGTAGTGTGCTAGCTTTCTGTCCTATAATAAAATACTGGAGAGAAATCAGAGAAGAAAAGGTTTATTTTGGTTCATAGTTTCACAGGTTTCAGTCCATCTGAAGGGGAGGAGAGGGGAGAGTAGGGGAGGGGAGGGCAGGGGAGAGGAGACCCCCCTATACCCTTCAAGAACACACACCCAATCAACTACTTCTACCAACTAGGCTACACCACCTAAAGCTTCACCAACTCCAACAGCTGGGAACCAAGCCTATATAACACAAAGATGGAAAAGTACTACTGTCTCATTACCTTTATAAAACTCAGTAAAAAAAAATCAGAATATATTGGTAGGTTTTATTAGAACAAACATTTCCATATCCATAAAGATCTCATCAAAACAAAGATGTCTCAAGTATCTTTGTTAAATAAGATCTAAAATGAAGTAAATATTAGTAAATTAATTGTAAATGAAGATATTTCAGCATATAAACCAAAGAGTATTCAAAGATTCTTAGTACCAGGACCTAATAAAATTATTTTCCAAGTGGGCAACTAATAATGAAAACCATAATTAATGCAGATGATACAAATGATAATTACTTTTTAACAGCAAATAAATGTTTAATATTTTCGTGAATACATCTGATATTACAAAATGAATTAATGGACAAAACTGAAAAAACTATCTGAGGAAAATAGACAATGATAAAAAGAAAGACTATAGAAGTACATTATGTGTATTTATGAAAATAAGTATAATGAAATCCATCAAAAACTGTTAAAAAAGAGAGGGGAGGAGGAAGAAGGGTTAAAAAAGAGCAATACAGATGGAATGTATTTGATCAAAATACATTATATATATATTATTGAAACACCCTTGTATAATTAATTTATGCTAATAAATTTTTTAAAAGATTTATAATTTATATTAATTTAAAAGTATGGTCACAAGCATAGGAATGTAGCATCATCACTTGAATGAAGGGTTGTCAAAATATACAAGAGATACTCTGAAGGAAATAAAACTCAAGATCTTGAAGTAGTGGCAAGTATCTTTGTTAAATAGGATGCAAAATGAAGTAAATATTAGCAACATTAACTATAAATGAAGATATTTTGGCATATAAACCAAAGAGTTTATCAGGAATTTTAATATCAAGACTAATAAAATTATTTTCCAATTGATAGCTATTTCGAATATATGACAGATACTGAAAAGCAACGAGGAAAATGTACTCTTATTTCCTGAAGCAGAAGTGACAAATGAGAGAGATGGCATTAAAAAATACAAGGGACATAGTAGATTAATGTACTACCTACTACCTTCAAAAAAACAATAATTCTCTTGAGAGAACTTAAGCACCATTAGCAGATACATCTATTAGTTAGTGAAATCCTTCACATTTCAATAGAAAACTATTTCAATGGTGAAAATGATGTAGGGATCAGAAGCACATTTTGCTGAGTGTCTAGGTACTCGACACTTTCCCGAGCTGGAAAGACATTTCATAAGACATATAAGTTACAGATGAAAGCAAATTTGCTCTAAAAATAATCCATGTCTGTGAAATAGCTTACCAGCAGCCACAACTCTGGGATCCTCGTGAGCTAGATGTCTCCCAGCTGCGCGAGTATCTGCACACTCATTCCACCAAAGAACATGAACTGCAGAAATAACCAAAAATTGTTTCTAAAGAGTATGATATTAACAAATAAGAAAATACAGAAAATGAGTGAAAAATGTCCTATTCTTTTAAATTAAAATAGTACTATCAAGAGAGTGATCCTAAATATTTTATGGTTAAGATTTCAGAGAGCTCAGAGACTTGGGAGATTATGTGAATTTATAAATTAATCAAACTGGTTTTATAGATGAAGAAACATAGAAGGCTGGAAAAGGGAAGTAAAGCAAGATAGCTAAAGGTACAATGAAGATAAGACCTAGGCTGCATGACTTCCTTTTGTATTTTACTTTATTTTTAAAAAGCAAGATTGTAAAAACTAATGTTTACTATAGAAAATTCATACAAAACAAAGAAAACTATAATGTCTGCTAATCATTATGAATGGAAAACCTCTATTAATATTTAGTGTATTTCCATTGAAAATATAAGTAAAAATAAATTAGAGTCATTATATATTATACCTAGTAACAAATTCTTTACAATTAATAGACTATCTTCTAGGGCAATAATATTAATTTTTAGTGAATTCCTCCCTACAGATACAACTTTTTATGTTAACTCTTATTATTGACTATTCAGATTATTTCCAATATTTCAAAAATCTATAGGATACTGGAATATTCTTATGAATAATTATGTATAAATTTTATAATTGCAATGTAATCTAAGTTAGATGTATAAGAAAATGCAGATAAACACCAACAGAAAGTAGGAATCATTTCTATACTATCCAGAAATAACCACTTTACATTTGGTGTATCTCTTCCTATAATTATGTCTGTCTGTATTTTTATATATACTTATGCAAACAAACATATCTATATGAAGTGTATGTGTATATTTATTTCTGTATTACATGAAGAAGGTCATACTGCATTGTTGCTGATGCTTCCTTACTATAAGCTATATTGGCACAAAGTTCATTTGTGCATACCTCCATGAGTAGCTACAATAATAATACTGTTGATGACAACGGCGACTAACAGTTAATGGGCAATTATGTGCTTGGCCTGACTTTAAGCACTTTCATTTGGTACTCATAACAATGTAGGCAGTAGGTTATTACTATCATCACATTGTGGATGAGGACACTAAGAAGAGTGAGGCAAACTTAGCCAAGGTTACAAACTTACGAAGCAGTGGATCTGGGATGCCAGTCAAGGCCAGGGTGTGTATTTCCTAACAAAAACTCCCAAACTTAAATTGAAAGAACCAAGGAGTATGCCTCTCACATATGTATGTATATACTTTTATTACAAATATACAGTGTACATATCAAACACTGCCTCCCAGAAATGATTTATACTCAGAATGAATTGAGAATTAAAAAGTATATGCACACACATTTCTAGTAGTTTTTCTTATAAAAGTTAGACATGTCTAGTATAGAATATTAAGATGGATTTTAAAAATGACTATATCCTTTTATAGTCATTTTTAAATATGACTATATCCTTTCAAATTTCTTATATAACTAAAAATACATATACACATATACACCCCTGCATATTTTTAGAATACTGATAAAGCCAATAAAAAGAATTAAGTTTTATTTGTATGGACAAAATTGGGAAGGGAAGATTAATATAAACTATAAAGGATAGAAGTACTTTTTTCCTGACTTATCTAACATTATATCCATATAAGCATGTCTGTATTAGGTTAAAAAAATGACATCTCATTATTGTTAATCTTCATAGTCTTTAAAATATATTTGGTACTCATCTGTGTGTCTACCTTCACATTAATTTTAATTTTCCTTTTTGCTTTTGAATTTCATTTATGGTGATTTGGATCGCATAGAAAGTCTGAGCCTTCATATAATGAAGTTGACAATTTTTTTCCTTTGTAGTTTCTTCATTTGCTTTTTGACTTAGAAATATAGTCCCCATCCATATTTATCAGATAAACTCATTTATGATTTGTTTTAGCAATTCTATGAATTAAATTTTCATGGAAATCTACAATTCACCTGAATTGTAGCATATGGTAAGTGATAATTTTCATAACCATTTTTCTTCTCCATGTATTTTCCAATCTAAATATACATTTTTGTATATACTATTTTCTAATGATACACAGGTTGAGCATCTGTTCTCTAAAAATCTGAAATCTGAAATACTTCTTGGCCTCATGTGTTTTAGGTAAGGGATACTCAACTCTGTTACTACGAGGAGAATTTCTGTGTAATGATCAAGAGCTCAGCACCCATTATGTCAGGTACAAGATGTCAAAAAACAGAGATAAGAAGGTAACTGGATATTACACTCTTTCAAATATTTAATAGCTATTCTTAGGCATTTATTTTTTGAGATAAACTTTATATTTTTCAGAATTTGCCACAAAAAATCTTGAAATTCTCACTGCATATCCTTCAAACTTAAAAGTTAAATACTCCAATAAGTATATATATAAATTTATTACTATACACAAATGCGCGCACACACACACACACGCACATATATAAGTAGTGGGAAATGGGTAAATTTTTGTGTAAGATGGCTTCAATATTTAAAAAATGTACATTAAATTTTTACTCAGAAACAATCCTACTCCAAGTAATGTTATTTTAAAAGAAACAATGAAAGTACACTTAAAAGAATAAAACATTATAAAAGGAATAGATTACTTCTCAAGACTCTTTTAGTTATTAAAATTTAATCATTTTGACATATTAGGGAAAAATAGCAGCTTAGCATTAAAAGAAGCTTCATGAAGTGTAACTTTTTCCCCACGATATTGGGGCTTGATCTCAAGCCTCTCATTTGTTAGGCAGGTGCTCTACCACTTGAGCCAGACTCCCAGCCCTTTTTGTGCTTTACTTATTTTTCAGGTGGTATCTTGAGTTTTTGCCCAGGCAGGCCTGGACCGGATCCCACTACTTACACCTCCTGATTAGCTGATGCAGGGCATGTGCTGCTGCACCCCACCTTTTTTATTGCCAGGAATGGCTTTGAACTATGATCATCCAGACCTCTGCCTCCCGAGTAGATGGGATTACAGACGTGACAGCCAGATGTTAACATTATAAGTAAGATATAGAACAGTGTTCTTGACCCTTAAAAAATTATAAAAAACTAAAAATTTGGCAATAAAAAATAAGCACTATGATGAGCAAATCAAACTAATCCAAGTAGCTTATTAATAGATCACCTTACACATCAAAGTTTCATAGAAGAAATGGATGACTGTACCTCTGTTGAGTGCTCCATATTCTGCATGGAAAACACCAATTAGTTTTGAATAGCCTTGATTGATATGGGTATGTATTACCCTTTTAAATGCATCACCCCACAGAGCTGGGCCACCAGGTTTCATCTGAAAAGTAACCAGTTCATAGATTCCTAGAATAGGCAGAAAAAGAATTATTTTGCAAAAGACATCTATGCAATTTCTAATCATGTTTGTTTAGCTTCCATGGAAGCCTAATCTACATATACATATTCGGAGAAGCATACATGCATACGTTTATGTAGACATATTTTCATTATTTGTCTTTGCTTTTATGTATAGAAAGACCTTGCTCTTATTAAAGTTATTAAGCTTAATCATGCAGATGACAAAAGACTAGAAGTTGTACATTTATAAGCTATTTGAAATCTAAAAAATTAGTTAATGAACCAGATATTGAGAACTTATAATGAAATAGGATTTTTGAGTTATAAGAGTCTATACTTTTAAAAATGAAGTAAATAAAATAACTTATCAGATGGTTGGGGATTTAGCTCAGTGGTAAAACCCTTGCCTAGCATGTACAAGGCCTAGGGTTCAAGCCCCATCACCACCACCTCCTCAAAAAAGAAACAATTTTCTAGTCCTCTGCATTTCATTCTTCTTTACAAATTCTACTACTTTTTTTTCTTTGTGAATTTTCACCATGGTACTTTTTTTTTTTTCTTTTCTGCTTGGTGGTACTGGAGTTTGACTCAGGGTCTTGCACTTTCTAGGCAGGCACTCTATCACTGAAGCCATGTCTCCAGCCCTTTTTGCTTTAGCTGCTTTTTCAAATAGGGTCTCACTTTTATGCCACAGCTGGCTTGGACCACAATCCTATTTATGCTACCTTTGTAGCTGGGATGACAGGTGCATGCCACTACACCCAGTTATTGGTTGAAATGGGGTGGGGTCTTGCAAACTTTTTGCCCAGACTGGCCTCAAATCATGATCCTCCCAATCTTGCCTCCCAGGTAGCTAGGATAATAGGTGTGAGCCACTGTGCCCAGCTTGTTTCCATTTCTAAAAGGAAGAGAAAGCAAACAGTGGAACAGAAGTGATATTTCTGAGGTTTGGAGAAAAAATCCCCTAAAGATATGGTTTAATGGGCCCTAAGTACATATTTGACATGTATTTTATCTTCTGGTCCAGAAGCATAGGGCCAACAGAGAGAAAGAAACTAGGGGACAAGGAGATTTGAGAGGTGAAGGAAAAACATGCAAAAGTTATACTCACAAACCGGGAACAAACAGAAGAGAACCAACATCAGTGTCAAAGACACTGTCTGATATGTCAACTATTTTATTTAGCAAGTACTGACAGCTGAAGCGAGATATAAATGGATAGAATCCAAATAGGAATCCAATAGGATAATCTCATTTGACTTTTGAAATTTTGTAGTGTTGTAGCAGGGAGGAGGGCCAGAAAAGAAACAAGCAAGTCTGTGCTCTGATAATGGGGGTTGGGGGAGATGGCATAGCAGGGAGATGAAACTTTAAAGAATCTAATGTGAAGAGGGTCACATAGCACCAGGAGGTGAAGTAGCCAATAAAGTTGCATGCAACCATATATGGGTTAAACCTTGCTTCTTGCTTCTGTAACCTGCTTGCAAGGGGCTCAGCCTTTGGACATGAGTCCACTAAGTTTGTGCCAGCACAATAAAACACTGCTTCCTGCTGAACAGCTGTGGTGTCCTGTTTCCCTGCCCTTGAGTATCCTGCAACATTTCTGGGGGCTTGTGTCCAGGATTCGGAGATGGTGTTTATTCACTTTCCTTGTTACTGGGGTGTCCCCTGGTTGCTGGAAGAAGTGATCCCACCAGGCAGCAATGGACAGTTTGATCTGGAGGAGGGACTCCTCCTCCCAGCCAGTCAGGATGAGGGCTTTGGCCACACAATGGAACCCAGTGAGGCACAGGAACCAGTGAGGGGAGCACCACCCATCAAACTGGTAAGGACCTGGGTTCAAATATTAGGCCTGCCCCTAAGTGGCAGAAGGGGAGCTTGATCACCTCCCAGAGTCACCTGAGTAACTTTGAGCAAAAGCAAAACCATGACTACTAGGCACTGAGAGTGGGGTAGAAATGGAAGCCTACATGTGAATGTGTGTCAATGAGACGTAGCTTAGCTAATAAGCAAGTGTGGAGTCCCAACCCACAGGCCCATGGTGAATTCATATGGTCTAAGGTGTGCCATAACAGGGCCTCTGGTCTGGGGTTTAGGCTGACTCACTACAGCTAAGAGGCACCTAATGTTCTTATAAGGGACATGGCCAAAGACTGGTGAAGTCAGTGATGTACTGCTCTCCCCAATGTGTCAGAGAGGAGGATTCCTTACCTCTCCTCCAAAACCTCTACCCCTTTGTGTCTGTCTTGATGTCTGGTAACAGGAGAAAATGGGTGGATATCAGAGTAAAAACACTACCTTGGATTGTATGGTTAAACACTTTAAAAAGGGATTTAATGGAGACTATGGAGTTAACTCCTAACAAGCTTAAGGCCCTTTGTGAAGTAGATTGGCTGTTTCTGGTGTAGGGTGGCCCACAGAAGGGTCATTAGACAAAACTGTGGTTAATGAAGTTTATAGGGTAATTGTATGGAAGCCTGGACACCCAGATCAGTTTCCCTATATTGATTACTGGCAGGATGTTGTCCTCAGCAGACCCATATGGCTAAGGCCCTGTCTGAAAGAGACCTGGAGGATTATGGTAGCTAGGGTGGCTGCAACTTCCAAGTGTGGGGAGAAAACAAAGGAGCCTGTACTGGCTGAGGAACCTGAAGAAATGCCTATGTGCCACTTTATCCACCTCTGTAACCGGCACCCAGTTCTGCACCTTCACCTCCAACATTGCATTGGGAAACTCGAGGGACAGTCACACCTGTAAGATCTGGCCCAGAAGCCACTGGGGCCTCAACACCCTTCACCTCCCTGAGTCCTATGGACCCCATGCCCATTCCAAGTCTGCCAGTTCTCACTCCACATCCTCCATTCAATGGGGGGCATCCAACTAGTTTCTGCGAGGACCCCTCTTCTCCTCAGACTCCCACTGTCCTGCAAATGCTCCTGAGGGAGGTCCAAGGCCAGGATGGTCAAATACAAGGAGGAGGGCAGATATTTGTCTACCAGCCCTTTACCATCACAGACCTACTAAACTGGAAACATCATACCCCCTCCTTCATGGAAAAACCTCAGGCTCTGATTGATCTGATGCAGTCTATCATCTACACTCATAAACCCACCCAGACAGACTGTTGACAGTCTGCCTCTATTTAATACTAAAGAGTGATGGTGTATAATGTTGGTGGCTCTAAAATGCCTGAAAGATCATGCCTCTGCTGATACCCTAAATGCCCAAGCCTATGTTCTCAGTTCCCTGAGGAAGACTCCCCACTGGGACCCTAATGATGACCAAGGCTAGCAGTGGCTTGAACAATACCAGGAAACACTATTGGAAGGCATAAAGGAAGGAGGGGAAAAGGCCATAAGCATGAGGAAAACATCAGAGGTCCTCCGAGGGTGAGATGAGAGGCTCAGCTAGTTTTATGAGTGTTTTTGTGAGGCTTTCTGTTTATACACTCCCTATGACCCAAAAGCCATTGAAAACCAGCAGATGATTAATGCTGCTTTTGTTGGCCAGGCCCAGGGAGACATAAGGCAAAAACTACAGAAACTGGAGGGATTTGCTGGAATGAACGCCAGTCAGCTTCTGGAGGTGGCCCCAAGGTTTTTGTCAATTGAGATCAGAAGGGTAAATGGGAGGCCAACAGGAAGATAAAAAAGATATTGGACCTCCTTATAGCAGTCCTCGTTGAACAGTCAGGTGGGCCCTGGCAGGCTAATCTAGGCTGAAGCAGAGGCAATCACTGTGGATGGTGACCAATGCCCCTGGGACACTCCCACCCTAGGGAGAAACTAGGGTGAAATCAATGTGCCTACCATTGTTGGTAAGGGCACTGGAAGAATAAATGTCCCCAATGGACTAGGGACTCCCAAAAGGTTCCCCAGGCCAGGGGCAGAGGCTGGGTTGTCAATGGAAACTGCCAGCCCACCAGCAGGGAAGACAGTCCCTGGGAGAAACATTGTCAGACTGGCATCCCTGGAAGGTTATGAGGAGGAATGGGACAGACCAGCTCCATTCTACTAGGCCCCTGGGAGCCTATGGTCCAAATAAGGATAGGGGGCCATCCTGTTGATCCCATGATGGACATGGGTGCAGAACATTCAGTTGTGACCCAACCAGTGGGCCCCGTTTCATAAAAGCATCCAACTATTATTGCGGCTACTGGGGACTGGGTCTGCCACCCCTTCTTAGTGTCCAGACAATACAATCTTGGGAGTCATGAAGGCATGAATTCCTTTATCTCCCCTATTGCCCAGTGAGCCTGATGAGCAGGGACTTATTATGCAAACTGAGGACACACATAACTTTTGATTTGGATGGCACAGCAGCTTTAAAGTTGAGAGGACCTGAGGCAAAGACTCACAAAAGAAGAGAAATGGTGCCGTGACGGAAGGGCTCCTGAGATTTCTGAGTTTCCCTTAAAGATTCCCGGTGTATGGGCCTTAGTAATGGTGGAACTAAAGCCAGAAGCCACCCTCATCAGCCAAAAACAGTACTTCATTCCCTGCAAGGCCCAGGTCAAAATTCAAAAACACTCTGACAGACTCCTAAAATATGGGATCCTCTGACCTTGCCAGTCATACTGGAACACGCCCTTATTACCCATCCAGACACTGGGGACCAAGGATTTCAGGCCAGTTCAGGACCTCTGGGCAATAAATTCAGCAACTGTTACTTTGCACCCTGTAGTCCCAAATCCTTACATGCTTTTAGGCCTTGTCCCAGCTAATGCAAAGTTTTTTACCTGCCTAGATCTTAAGAACACATTTTTCTGCATCTGCCTAGCCCCACAGAGCCACCATTTTTTTTTTTTTTTGCCTTCCAATGGGAAAATCTCAACACTGGAGAAAAGAGGAAACTATCCTATACTCAATTGCCACAAGGTTTCAAAAACTCCCTCACTATCTTCAGAACTGCCTTGACATCTGAGCTCAAAGTTTTCTTAGCCAACCAGCAAGGCTGCACACTCCTCCAGTACATGGATGACTTCCTTCTGGCTGGACCAACTCAG